CGTTTAGTTTGTTCTTTAAGATCGTTTAGTTTGTTACTAAAGATCGCTTAGATTGTTCTTAAGGATCGCTATGTTTGTTGTTAAATATCGTTTAGTTTTTTCTCAAAGATCGCTTAATTCGTTCTTAAATGTCGTTTAGTGTGTTGTTAAATATCGCTTTCGCTGAATATTAAATGACCGAAAACCTGAGTCACTTTCGGCCGATGGCCGAAAGTCTAAGTCAATTTCGGCCGAAACCGAAGAAAAACCGAAAGTTAACTTTCCTCTTTCGGCCGAAACCGAAATTAAACCGAAAGTCAACTTTTCAGTTTCGGCCGAAACCGAAACTTGGCCGAAAGTGATAAAATGGCCACTTTCGGCGCCGAAACCGAAGCCGAAGCCGAAATTCGGTCGGTCTCTATTGTAACTGCACACCCAACAGCAGTAAGGAACCTGTGTGTTTCCACAGCCCCCTGATTGAACTCACCAACAGCAAAAGCTGTGGCTATTTTCACTCTAGTTAGTTCAGAAAACAGATGTTTTGGGCATCTACTCCATATCATTCCATGGAGGCTTTCATTGGTGTTCTGAGTTTTGCCTAAAAGACACCTTTCTTACAACTTAGGCTCGGTCAGCCTTGTGTGTTTGTTTCTGTATATTTGAAGTTGTACTTTTATAGCCATTTAATAGTATAATTAAATTGAATATTGTTATCACTAGCTTCGGTTTCGTTTTTCTTTGTATACTCGTTCTCAGTCCATTGTTACATATTGGTCACTCTACGAGCCAAATCTTGAAATAGATTAACGTTTCAAAACCATACATCGGCACGTAACAGTGAAGCACATTAGACATTATACACATTGTATCGGTGTTCTATAGGACGCCCGACTGCAGTTAGTCAATGGATCATGTACACCATCTATAGGACGCCCGACTGCAGTTAGTCAATGGATCGTGTACACCATCTATAGGACGCCCGACTGCAGTTAGTCAATGGATCATGTACACCATATATAGGACGCCCGACTGCAGTTAGTCAATGGATCATGTACTCCATCTATAGGACGCCCGACTGCAGTTAGTCAATGGATCATGTACACCATCTATAATCTATAGGACGCCCTACTGCAGTTGGTCAATGGATCATGTACACCATCTATAGGACGCCCGACTGCAGTTAGTCAATGGATCATGTACAACATCAAAGGGATTGGCGTTTTTATAAAAGGATAAATTTTAGATATAAAAAAACAAAACAACTCTCAGAGATGGTCTACTAGTCTGAATTAGTCGTACATTGTCAACATAATGCTTTATTATTTTTTTAAACACAAAAGTATTTTATTTTGTGTCACACAAGACACTTAACAAATCCAAGTTGACTGTTGTGTAGTCCAGTTCCAGTAAACATTTGTGTTTTCCAGGTCCAGTAGACTGTTGTGTAGTCCAGTTCTAGTAGACTATTTTGGTGTCCAGTTCCAGTAGACTGTTGTGTTGTCTAGGTCCAGTAGACTGTTGTGTTGTCCAGGTCCAGTAGACTGTTGTGTTGTCCAGGTCCAGTAGACTGTTGTGTTGTCCAGGTCCAGTAGACTGTTGTGTTGTCCAGGTCCAGTAGACTGTTATGTTTTCCAGGTCCAGTATAGACTGTCGTATTTTCCAGGTCTAGTAGACTGTTGTGTTGCAGCTGATCTGAGATTTGCTTGTCACTCTGGAATTTTCCAATCAAATATTGTTCTATATAGCCTTGAATCCTGTCGGCCACAACTTAAGATTGTGCACACGGAGGCTCGCGCTAGTCAAAGTCAATGTCGTGCGGGATAAATGTGTTGAAAACATGCTGACGACATGGGTTCAAGACAAGAACGGCACTCATTGGTTGGTCTGTCCATGGCTTGGTCAATTAATGAACAACTAGGCCCTATAATGCATGCTGTTATGAAGATGTGCTTATCGTGCATGCTGGTATTAAGATATGCTCATCATGCATGCTGGTATCAAGATCTGCCCATCATGCCGGTATCAAGATGTGCATATCATACATTCTGGTATCAAAATGTGCCTATCATGCATGCTGGTATCAAGATGTACCTATCACGCTAGTATAAAGATGTCTCCCTATGAGGCTCTTTTTTAATGTGAACTAAAGATTGCGTTAAACAAATCGAATCTACCTCAAGAAGTTTTGCCGCTCGTCATGACGGAAGAAGACTTGCATGAGATTGTTGCGTCAGTTTCAGAATCTACTAAAGCTCTTTCTACATCACCTAAAGTCTCTACAGATCGTTATACATCACCTCAAGTCTCTATAGTTCTTCCTACATCACCTCAAGTCTCTACAGATCTTTATACATCACCTCAAGTATCTACAGATCTTTATACATCACCTAAAGTCTCTACATATCTTTCTACAGCACCTCCAGTCAATACAGATATTTCTGAAGCACCGTAAGTCTCTACAGATCTTCTTACCATACCAGCTCAAACATATTTAACAATTAAAGATGCCACTTGTCCTTCATCATGCATCTATCAGCATGTTCTATGCCACTACACATATCAGCATGTTCTATGCCACTACACATATCAGCATGTTCTATGCCACTACACATATCAGCATGTTCTATGCCACTACACATATCAGCATGTTCTATGCCACTACACATATCAGCATGTTCTATGCCACTACACATATCAGCATGTTCTATGCCACTACATATATCTGAAGGAAGACTGTACCTGAAAACTACAACTATCTACATTTGCTCTAACTGGCAGAAGGCCTGACTAAACCTACAGTGCTACTGCTAGACCACCTCAATCTACAAAATCAGTAGCTTCAACTTCAAGCTCATCAGTGTCCAAGCATTAAGCACTGTAAGCGCAATTTTCAATTTATTAGTGGTCGTGGTTTTATGGCGAAGAGGAATACAGTGCCAATGTGTTGTGTCCGAGGGATACAGTGCCCATGTGTATTGTCCGAGGGATACAGTGCACATGTGTGTTGTCCGAGGGATACAGTGCCCATGTGTGTTGTCCGAGGGATACAGTGCCCATGTGTATTGTCCGAGGGATACATTGCCCGCGTGTACTGTCCGAGGGATACAGTGCCCATGTGCATTGTCCGAGGGATACAGTGCCCATGTGCATTGTCCGAGGGATACAGTGCCCATGTGTATTGTCCGAGGGATACAGTGCACATGTGCATTGTCCGAGGGATACAGTGCCCATGTGTATTGTCCGAGGGATACAGTGCCCATGTGCATTGTCCGAGGGATACAGTGCCCATGTGTATTGTCCGAGGGATACAGTGCCCATGTGCATTGTCCGAGGGATACAGTGCCCATGTGTATTGTCCGAGGGATACAGTGCCCATGTGTGTTGTCCGAGGGATACAGTGCCCATGTGTGTTGTCCGAGGGATACAGTGCCCATGTGTGTTGTCCGAGGGATACAGTGCCCATGTGTGTTGTCCGAGGGATACAGTGCCCTTGTTTACTTTTTATTTTTATACGTTGTAGAACCTATCCTCATTTGGAACTTTCTAGAAACCTAAATATTTTTGTAAGTGTTCAAAGTCTCGGCTACTGGACATTTTATTATTCGCGCCAATTGTGAACTGGCACAACCGCAAATGTCGCATACATTTTATGTTTATTTCCTGACATTTTATGTTTATTTCCCGACATTTTATGTTTATTTCCTGACATTTTATGTTTATTTCCTGACATTTTATGATTATTTCCTGACATTTTATGTTTATTTCCTGACATTTTATGATTATTTCCTGAAATTTTATGTTTATTTCCTGACATTTTATGTTTATTTCCTGACATTTTATGTTTATTTCCTGACATTTTATGTTTATTTCCTGACATTTTATGGTTATTTCCTGACGCGTAACAAGTTGATTTTTCTTTCTTAATCACATTTTTTTAAAAACCATTAGAATTATGTTGTTTTTCAGTTTGATTTTTGGTAGGTACTGGTACTCAAATTCATATCATACATGGAGGAAGTATTATTGGCAAACCGTTTTGTAAATATGTCAAGTGATGGGTTATGCTTATTCTCGGCACTACCATTCTGTGGCTGTGGGTATCCCGGGCGGCGAATTGAGGCAGTGGTTAGCAGCTAGGGTTAGTGCCAACCGGGGCGGGACAAGCTTTTTGCCGCCCCGCTTCCACGAAAAAATCTACAGCTGGCCGGAAAACGCCCCCTCCATATAAGGACAAAAGTGCCCCTCTGCACCACTTTCCTACGCCACTGCAATAAGGTCAAGGACGAGTTCTACGTAAAGTCGTGGGAAGATAGCAGGGATATTGCAGGCGTTCACTCAATTCAGATAATCAAAAGATAGCAGGGATATTGCAGGCGTTCACTCAATTCAGATGATCAAAAGATAGCAGGGATATTGCAGGCGTTGAGGGTCAGGGTCATTCATTTAAGCGGTTTATAGCAAAAATTAATTTTGAAACTCAAATATTGAGTGCGCTGATTTGAGTAATTTGCAATCGTCAAGATAATTTGAAGGAGTGAATGTAAGATCATTTGAAAACTATCTAAATATCCATTTTTATATATTGCTAAAGCTTGCAATAATATGCAATAACATCTCATTTACAATGGGTCCATCGATAAATGACATCACACAATTTTTACCCATTTTCGAAGCCCCCCCCCCCCCTTCATTCTTATCGTCAGAAAATGTAGACACCCTTATCACAAATATTTGGCTCCCATATCCCCATCAGATGCATTCTGGCCCCATATTTTTATATATTGCTAAAGCTTGCAATAATATGCAATAACATCTCATTTACAATGGGTCCATCGATAAATGACATCACACAATTTTTACCCATTTTCGAAGCCCCCCCCCCCCTTCATTCTTATCGTCAGAAAATGTAGACACCCTTATCACAAATATTTGGCTCCCATATCCCCATCAGATGCATTCTGGCCCCATATTGCACGATTTCTTTAAATGTAAGATTCAAAATCAAATGTTTTTATTATTTATGCACTCTTGATATTGGTGCCCAGGGCCTGCACCCTGTTCATCCACCCACACATAGCCAGTCCTCCTTGCATATAGTCTTGAAGAGTTATTGTGCAAATTTTATCATGTTTTATCTTGGTAAATTTATTGACTAATCCTAGAGATTTTTTACAAAAATATGACTGTCAAAAGTTTCTCCTAGTATAGCCCTAGCATGTCCACTTTAAAAAAAATTTCCTCTTGAAGAGAACTTTATGTAGTTCCTGTGTCTCCAATGTGTCTCCAATGTAGAGGACTTAACTCCTGTTGTCAATGCAGGGGACTTAACCACTGAATTGTCCCCTTGTCTCCGATAGCATGGAGACAAGCTAAATCAGAAGCACTCTACCTTTTATTACCTTAATAAATGCAATGTATATCATTTTAGCAGCACTATCAATACCAGTGCCAGAAAACAACTCCATCCTGCCATTACATAGTGTCTAAACTGTAGGTTTGTTTTATTTAAAAAAAATAATTACACATCTATTTTACATCACAATAACTTCTAATTATCATTGTAGATAAAAACATATCACATCAGTCAGAATGTTTTGCATCGTTTTCGGTTTTTCCTTTTTTTGCAGCTGCCTCCCCATCAGCTTGGCTGTTTTGCTCTTTGATTCGCTTTGCAGTTTCTAGGATACCATGCTTGTTAAAAGACTCCATTATCCTCTCAATTTCCCCCTCCAGTTCCTCCAGCTCCAGCATGATTTCTGTGTTGGGAGTGTCTTGAGGAGCAGTCATGTAATGGGGTGGGATCAAGGCTGCTGCAACTACTCTACGTTCAGAATTCAAAAAGTTGAAGGTCGAGCATGCTTGTTCCTAGAGAGGAAACGGTCACAATGTGATGTTGACACGAAATCATGACATGAAAATGGGGTTACACATTTTTTTTTATATTGTGATTATTTATTCCCCAAATAAAAACCATTAAAATTATTCCCACCAAGAAATATTTAGAGTACATAAACCTTGAACTTGAATGATTTTGATCAGTGTTTCCCAAATGAAGGGGTGCAAGAGCAAAACACTGTGTTACCAGAAGAAAAAAAAAAAAGTTGAAAACTTAGGTTTTTCTTTAATTGGGTTTTCATCTTGGCTTTGTTTTACCCACACATCAGTTCAACTTTAAGTGTTGAGAGAGAATCTTTTGAGTTAACTGATTACATTTAATTTTGAAAATTGATCAATGGTTTATGAAACATGGTGAAGACAGTGGTACTAAAACAAATGATTTCTTCATAACAAAATAAAGAGAAAAGCTACCCCCCCAAAAAAATATGGTTTCCTTTGAATATTTTTGTTTTCAGGGTGTTCAATCTGCAAACCTTAAACTTCAAAATGGTTTCACATGAAATAGTAACATTAATTGTTGAAACTGGTTATCCTCACACAATCGTCAAGCAATAAACAGTTCCAGCAATTAAATTGTTAGCATCTCAGATATGTATGAACAGGAATACCAAATAAATATCATGGAGGTATTAAATAAAAAAGTAAAGCAATGAGTGGTGAAGATGGCAGAGTTAATGGTGGAGATGGCAGAGTTAACGGTGGAGATGGCAGAGTTAACGGTGGAGATGGCAGAGTTAACGGTGGAGATGGCAGAGTTAACGGTGGAGATGGCAGAGTTAACGGTGGAGATGGCAGAGTTAACGGTGGAGATGGCAGAGTTAACGGTGGAGATGGCAGAGTTAACGGTGGAGATGGCAGAGTTAACGGTGGAGATGGCAGAGTTAACGGTGGAGATGGCAGAGTTAACGGTGGAGATGGCAGAGTTAATGGTGGAGATGGCAGAGTTAAAAAAACAAAACAAAAAACGTCCAAGTGCTCTGTCCATTAAAAGAGTGTATCATAGTCATAGTTTTTCTTTCTTGCAAGTAGATCAACGTTCACACATATCCGACACTGCTTTTCTATTTGTTTTGTGAGATATTATTTTGACAGTATGGCTCATGAAGAATTTCTCCATTATTTGATTCTGACAAAAAAAGATTTCAAAATTTCCATTTGGTTGATAATTGCATAGATTAAAATTGCATTAATTTGCAGACTGGGTGAGACTGATTAGGGTTGGAATTTGTGCAATGGCAACCCTTCGTACAGGAATGAAGACCTTAGAATGAACAGCCCTTGTATAGATGCATTGTAGCAATCACAGAGAAGATATGGCCGTCTACAAAAATGACACTGCTTTTAGTTGAGAGTACCCAAGAGTGTGTAAAATTTATAAACTTAATAAAAATCCCATGTACTGAATTAAAATAATACAGATTAGATTATTATTCCTTATGACATAGGACTCAATTACATCTTGACACAATACTACTGATGAATTTTTGGGGTGTCAAGTAGCCAAGAATATTGAGTAGAAGAGAGGATAAAATGTCTAATGCCTATTGTCATGATCTATGAGGAGCTAGCTGTGCAACAAAGGTTTTCATATAGAACAAGATATAAAATTAAATTTGTAATCTTTCCTTTTTTAACCTTTAGTAAGCAAAAAAATGAAACCAAACTTCACTTTTATAAACTAGTAGCCACAATTTTGTCAAAGTTATCTACAAATTTTTTTAAGAGTACTGGTAAATGATTTTTTTTAGAATGTACAAAAATTGTATCGACATTCAAATAAATTTTGTGTTAACCATAGGGCAGTATAAATAAATGTAAAAATTTTAGTGGGCAACGAAGTATAAATATAAAAATAACTGGCCATGGAAAAAAAACATGGAAAAGCTGATACAAATCATCATTGATAATCATTTACCATGAGTTATTAGCATTATCCCAACTCTGAATGAATTATTATGATGAAAGCACTGATCCTGAAACATTTGCAACAATGAAAATGATTGGTTATTGATTGAAAGAATGCATACCGTGGGAAGAATCTCCACATTAATCTTGTGGCTGCGTAAAAATTGGATAATTTTGCTGTCTACCTTAGCGCCCCAGTCCCCTTTTCCAATCAGTAGGATATCTGGTTGGTAAGATAAAATCAAAACACTTTTGCACTTAAGTTAAGTAAAAAGGATTATGAGATTGTACTGTATGGGAAAACTGGAAAACACATAAAAGCTAATTGATAACATATTTAAAAAACTTATAGTTAACTAACTTCATAAAGCAAACTTATAGTTGAAATAAATACTCAGAATTATTCAGAATTGTTACTCTTTCTGTATATTGTGTAGCAGATAATGGTACCCTGAATGAAACTAAATTGTTAATTTAAAAAAATTATCTAATTGTTAATTCAGGTGCTCCTTTTTAAAAGGATGGCTCAAAAAGAATAACCAATGTGAATGTCTATGTTTATCCCATGTATGTGCAACTATATGTACACGTTGCCTGTATGTATCCTATGTATGTTCTACTATCTTTTCAGAAATAAAGGAAAGGAACTAGAGTGACATCCCTAATAAATTGCATTTGTTTCAAATATAGAATGACACTATCTTTTTCCAGATATTCATTATAATTCATGGTAACTGCCAGATAAAACTCTTTAAAAAGTACAAGTATATCTAACTAATAAAGGCCTTCTCAAAACATGTGTATCAAGAAGCTTTTCTCTGTCTATTACCAAGCTTGGGTTCCAAGATTGTGAAAAGTGACAATGATTCAGGGGTTATCTTGTCAGCTGAAGCAACCTGTTTCAATTAAATAAATATTACAATTAGTCAAAAGTGTGACATTATGCATGGTTGGCCCCTTATCATATTATTTATAGACATAAATTGCCATTATTAAATAAGCATTAAAAGATTTGATTCATTTTGCATTCAAAGCACTTAAAATACTTAATGGCTAAAAGATATTTCAAAGTTGGAGAATTAACGTTCTAATTAATCTAATAAAGATGAAATGTTTTGAAAAAAAGGTGACTAAAACAATTGCCTTACATTCCAATGTAAGACAGCCCTAGGAAATAAAGCACATGGTCCAAGAATGTTAAAACCAGAGGCAAGCCGAAATCCAGTTGAGCTGTAGGCAGCAATGTAATTGTGAGTTTCATCTTCCAAAGAAATCATTGATACATTACTTTTGGAGTAACTTTCTCCATCAAAATTATGATTGCTAATACTTGTGCTGTCAAATAGAAATCAAAGATATTAAAGATAGGTGTGCTATTCAAACCTCCTAGACATAATAATTCTTGATGTAGCCTAAATTAAAATTTTAAATATGGTGTTTCATCAAAATACTTACATCAAAAACCTAATACTTACTAAAAATACAACTGGTAGATACTATTATTATTTCCCAAAAAAGACAATACATGAAATTATTAATTTCATTATATTTAACTAGTATTATGATAGATAGTCAGATATAACATTCAAAATGATCAATGCTGCGGGGTACAAAGCCCCAACAAAGACACCTGGGACCCCTAGGCAGTTAAAATCATATGGCATTCTTAAAGAATTAAAAACCAGTAATATAGGTGTTAAAAATTAAAGCAGAAGTCAATAATATGTGCAGAAAACATTTGGTTCCCTCTAGCAGGTCCCCTAAACGGCACAGGGCCTATAAAAAATTGCCCACTTTACCTTAGGTTAATGTGGCAGTGACAGGGCACACTGATTTAACTAATAAGGTCTTCACAGCCACTCAATATGTTTAGTGTTTTCAGTACAGCATTAGCACTGATTTTCCAAACTAATTGGAACTTTTTATTATCCAAAAAGTGTTTGTTTCCAAAAGAACCATGACTGGGAATTAGAATAAAATCTCAGGCGACTTAGGGCACTTATCCTATCCAAATTCAGGCATTATAATATAATCCTAACCCTAACTCACTGAAAATTATAGACATTTTATAGATATTTAATCCTTGAACTGTCCCTGTTATTATTCTGTACTGTGCAGGCAATTAGAGCTTTTTGGGTGCCTTTGAAAAAATTTGATTTTTAATCACATGCTAATACTATAGCTAGATCCAATATAGTATATATTTATTGAAATTAGACTGAGTGGGGAATCATATTGGCTATTTTTTAATGATATTTTATACTCTGTGACCGTGACCTTGGAGTGGCCAAGAATAAAGAAAATACTGAAAAGTTTTCTTTTCAAGTACCTCAAACTACAATTTTTTAAAGGCATATTATAATATTTAAATAATATGATAGCATTTGTATTTATCTTTCAGATAATTTAAAATTTGTATAAGTTTGAGTTATTAATAGATTAAAAAAAAAATTCTTCTGATACCTTCAAGTAACAAAGCATGACATAAACAATATAAACATTACTAAATAGCAAGAAACACAGTTCAGGAAGAGAAAATCTACTGATGAAATCGGCAGACGACAGTTCGTGGGTTAAGATAATAAATTGTAATTTGATAACAATAGTGTGTTACCTGCAAAATTTTGAAAACGAGAAGAGAATTTAATGAGCATAAGCACAACATATTATGCCCTCGGAAACCCAATTATAAATAGAGGGCTCAACTCGCTTAACGGAGTCACATCTATGATCTGAAAAATCACTAGGCTGACTGTCTGGGCCTCTAATTATACTAATCTCAAAAGTCAAAGAAATGTAAAAATCAATTTAGGCCCTAGTCACACTATCCACTACTCTCAGTAACTGATAGTAATTTATTTAATAACTAGAAATAACCCGTCAAACAATGGCAGCGGCTGTGCATGAAATGACCATTCACTAAAGTTACTTGACAAATGACAAAACAAATTCTGGGAAGAATTAAGACTTTTTTCAGGCACACCTTTTAAAAAAAAAATTTTCACATGTTTAGCGCAGTTATTGGTAATTTTATTTTGCGAGCCATTGTGTTTGTCATTTAAAATTTAATGTATTGTTAGAAGCTATGTTTCATGAAACATTGTCTAAAAATAGTAACAGTACATAATTCCATGTCATGTTTTACAGTCTTAGAAATGACAAACTGTATTGAACACAGTGTTACAGCCATACAATAGAGGCATAGGCCTACACTACAGTCTCTACAACCTACAGACAGCCAGCCTACATTTCATACATTTTTAAAAATACATACCATACCTTTCATACCTAGTTAACTACTCTTGATTTTAATTATTATTTGTGACAACTGTTTTTTATTACAAAGTGGCTATTTGGACACGGGTTACTTTAGATTGAATAAATGGCTATTCGTACTGTAACTGAGACTCTGACTTATTCAACATAAAGGAAGCCAAAAAAATCTCAAGACAAAATAAGTAGACAATGATGTACAAGATAAAAAATGGGCTGGTTCACTGCTCCAGCCTTTAACAGTGAGAAACGCATTCCTCTCCCCTTAGACAGCAACGAGGCTATGACTGTAACTGTAACAGGCAGTTACGTCTCGTGCTCATAACACGAATAATAAAGTAAAGAAAAGGAGCTGCTCTGATGGCTCATTCCTGCCAAACACAATCAGGGACTGGAACAAGTTGAGGTGACAACACTTGACACATTTGCGACAACACTTGACACATTTGCGTCTATTGCCTCATGCCTTCCAACCCCCAGTTCCTGATACCCTGGTTGATAAGTAAGTAGCCCTTGGCCCTTGCAACCATTGAAATATCCTATTCAATAGTACCACCAGGCACAGAAACATCGTGAGTCCCCTCAACATAAATAGGAGCCAGAATGATCAATGCATTGATGGTGGGGCCTTAAGAAGAAGAATGACAATAGACTCAAAAGTGAATTCACTTTTTTAGTCTTACCATGTAAATTTTCTAATGTTTGTTAGGGAAACAAAACGCATTCTTTGAAAAGACACAAACATCTCTGAAATTATATTTATAGCTGTTTTCTGCAGCCACTTAAACAAGTCCAAATAAAACGTTCACTGGGAAAATAAGTCTGTTTCAGTATGTATCGCAGGACATGTTTCTATAGGCTATCGACTTTCACAATTTCACTATCAATAATATTAATATATAGTAAAAAAAAAAAAAAGGTTAGACGGTTTCAAGTTCAATCAAATGTAAATGACACATTAAAAATAAGAGTTAAATACCCCTGAAAGCAAAATGATAATTTCGCATTTAACTTTTTAATTATAGTTCGAGACATTAAAATTTGGTTTGTGTCCTTGACTAAGTAAGCCTTATAAGTCAGGGGTGGACAAACATTTTCTACGGAGGGCCACATTGAAAAATTTATTCTCATCGGGGGCCCTTATATTGTCTACTTCAATAACAATTTACCACGTATGAAAATATGAATTAATGAACAGGTACATGTATTTGTCATTTCATTTCACATTCAAGCTGTATTACACCTGGACATTACATTTTAGAATACGAACTGAAACAGTTTCTAATAATGAGAAATTACTATTCATAATTATTTCAACAAAAGTTTATTGTTACCTATCATAATAATTATGAAGAAGAAGGGACTTAATTTACATACAATCTGAACACAGATTTTATTTATAATTAACGAGAACATGGGCGCCCGCAGGTAGGGGCAAGTGCCCCCCCCCCCCGATTGATTGGATACAAATTTTTTAGCCAAAAAATTTATTAAAGATAGAGAAAATAAAGGTAACTAAGCTGATGTCCTGTCCGTTCGTTCACCATACAAATACGCTACAGCAAATTAAAACTATATTAAAACATTACTAAAAAATTTTTGCCTCCCCC